AACAACACTTGTAACATTTTATCAATCGCAATTGGTCAGAAATTTAACACTTTTTCCAACCGATGAACAACGAATCTGATTGTAACATGGTCGTTCTTAAATCAGGTGTAATTTCAATGACAACACTAATTCCGCTCTTGAGTTTGAGATTTTTGCGTATCAGTTAAATTATTTAGGGTAGCTATATTCGTGATAATATCATCTGGGGAATCAATACCATCCAAATTAAAATTTTGATTATTAACCTTCGATTTAATTTCTTGGCCTCATATTTCGATGCCAACTTTGCACCAAGACTAGTTTTCAACGAGTTCAACGATGCATCATCTTTACAATGAACCGAAACGCATTTATGGATTTTACGTGTATTATTTACACATATATTCGTACTGGCCAAATTGATGATTTTATGCCATCTAACACCTTACTTGTCTCGGAGGAATTGCTACCATCAGATTGAACCGACAGAACAGATGAGTTGTCCCTATTCTACTGTTTTACTATATCACTAAAAAGTGGACCCGGTTGATGTAAGTTGACCTGGTTACTACCACATTCTTGAGATTTTGCAGGTTCACGTCCTTCGTACGACTTCAACAGAGATTTTTGCAATTGTACACTGTATTCGAGATTAGGCAAACGTTTTTTAGTTGAATCCAATTCCCGATTGACGCTTTCCAAATCTTTTCTCAATAATTTTACATCAGTTCTTGTTTCATTACTGACTGACTGCAAGGAGTTTTTACAATCATATTCGAATTTCAACTTGCAAAGGCCTCACTTTAGTATTTTCGCGCAGACTAAGTTATCACTACATACTTTGCATACATCCACATCAGGTGCCATGACTCTAGCATAGACCTAATTGCCTGAACTATATGCAAAAATTACAACAAAATACCACAGTGTTTGTTAGGTAGACTTCTCTGGCAGGCAACTGATAACATTACAAAAAATTAAGAATCGTGGTCCCTATAAATAAGAAACCTACGACGTAAATCAGTAATTGAGGCAAATTTTTCCAATCAAGATACTGCACCGTATGTACTAAACTATGTCATGAAATGAAATTTCCACTCTTTTTCCCTAATAAAGAGGACTACCATTGACTCGCTAATCGGTGCGATGTATACAGTTTGGCGGTCTGACTATATCACCGAACTGGCGGCTTAAGCCTAGTTGAATTGTAGTGTAATAGATTCATCTATTTCGGGCTTTTGCGGCCTTAGTAACACAACTTTATTTCAGGATGATTAACTTTATTCTGTCTAAACATGTATATATTGGTAGGTACTGCAATACCTAACAAGCTTTTAATAATGTATTATACAGTATGATCTTTCCATACTATACAGTAGTATATACTTGCAAACTGACTGCTGGCTACGATATGATGGATCAAAACAATTCGCACGCTTGCTCATTCTACCTGAAGGCTTGTGTAGCCGAGTGGTTAGCGAATCGAGCGACTATTCTGTCAACCCGAGGCTCGCGAGTTGGATCTCCATTATGATTTTGTACGATACGTAAACATTTCAAAATAAAAAATTTCCACTGCTATTAACAAGTCCAAAATTATCGGAAGAACTTGGAACACCAACATTTTTAACTTGACCCACATTTTCCTTTGTTGCATTATCATTCTGACTACTTGATCTAGGGTTACAGATTGCATCGCGACAGTCTGTGAATGAACTCGGAAATTGTTTTGTAACACGATGTTTGTCTAAACATTGATATAGTTTTTAAATTCATTTCTAGTAGTGCAAAATTTATAACAACAATTTACTGATTCCCTTTGTTAATTTTATTGTTCCTCTGGTACTTCCCATCTTCATCGTAGGTAGAAATTTCAATTCCGCATGTAGGTCTAATGAAGCCATATCTACATTCTCTTGTCAAAAAATCTAAGATGCTGCTTAGGTGACGATCAAAACTATATATCAACTTTTCAACAAGATAATTTTAAAAATTAGACACTCATCATCAGATATTTCTAAATATGTCCTCAACTTTTAGCAGTAAAACTAAGTTGTACCTGCTTTTCGGGTTGGGCTGTACTACCCAACAAATACTCAACATACTGGTACTTACAGTAATGGATAAATCGTATAGTTTATAAATTCGTTATTATTTTTACACCATAAATCTTATTCACTGTTCAAGTGTTCATCCATACGCATTCAGTACCACTGTTTATTGTTCCATTATTTGTCTATTAGATATTATTGCTAAAATAAAAACCTAAAAAAGAATTCACTGCTACTGATCCTCGGCACCGTCAAAATTTATTCTCTTCCATTCATTAATAATCATGTACATATCCGCCATCACTATTTCTTTTTCCATGGGCTTCCCCTACTGATTTTCAATAACATTATATGCAAAAGGTATATCCATATTAAATGTAATAACTTCTGAGGTAATAGAGCTGTTCCCTCTCGAAACACCATCCTTCGTTGGGTTGAATCACTTCGCAGGCGTGGTGAACTGATCAACAGAAGACCAAGAGGAGCGCCGCGAACAGTTCAAACTCCTGAAAATGTTGAACGCGTTCGACAGGTCTTTCTTCGCAGTCTGACTCGATCTGCCCGGAAACATGCTGCTGCACTTCGCCTTAGTGATCGTGGTAAGGCGAATTTTGCATATGGATATCCGCCTTCACCCCTACAAATTGGCCATTGTGCAACAGTTACAGCCCGGAGATTATGCACAACGAATGAACTTCGCACGTGTGATGGAAGCACTGATCGATCAAAATGAGAACCTCATTTTTGAATTGTCGTTATTGGGCTAATGAAAATCCCCAACAGTTACACGAAAGACCGCTGCACAGCCCAAAAGTAACGGTTTGGTGCGCTGTATCGCGAACTTCCAAGAACGCCTCCAGCACTGCATCAACGATTTCGGCCACCACATGCCTGATGTGATTTTCCACACTTGACTGGCTCAAATGCTATTTCCTTGTGAACCTGATTCCATCAATAAATTTGTTTTCGAGTAACAATTAACTAGTTTATGATTTTTTTTAAACCGTCCATCCTCTCTGCCGCACCCTGTACTAGCAGCACTTCAAACAGTTTCTGGTAAAGGATCCTGGCAGGATCACCATGTAATAGATTTATCTATTTCGAGCTATTGTGCCCTTAGTAACACAACTTGATTTCAGCATGATTCCGGTGAATTACATTACTTACAATACCTAACAAGTTTCTAATAACAATATATTATACAGAACGATTTTACCATACTACAGTAGTAAAGGGTGTCTCATAAATATTTTCTTATTTTATGCCATAAATAAAAATACTTAGAATATTTTTACAAAGATAAATTTATTACCAAACGAAAGCCTAAACATTAATTTTATTTATGGAAAAGAGTATCGGATAAATGAGCACCGTTCATGTTTTCACACTCTCTTAATCTCGAACTGAAGTTTTCGATCACTCTCCGAAGCATTGCTCGAGGAATGGCGTTTATTTCATCTGTTATTTTTTGCTTCAACTCTCTCAAATCTTGTGGCGGTGGGGTGTATACCTTACTCTTCAGGTATCCCCATAAGAAAAAATCTGCTGGTGTCAAATCGGGACTTCTCGGTGGCCAGTTAATGTCTCCTCTGCGACTGATGACCCTCTCTGGGAATAACTGATGAAGAGCATCCAACGATTCATTCGTGACATGAGAAGTCGCTCCATCTTGCTGGAAAAACGTGTTTCTATTGTAGCCACCATGGTTCTGTATAGCTGGAGTTAAAAAAGTCCTAATCATGTGGCAGTAGCGCTCAGATGTTACAGTTTGAGCTTGGCCACGAAATACGGGCCAATGATTCCTTGCCCTGACATAGCAGCCCAGACGATAACTTTAGGCGAGTGTAATGGCGTCTCATGAAGATTTTGCGGGTTCTGCTCGGCCCAATATCGGCAGTTTTGTTTATTAACATGCCCGTTAATGTGAAAATTCGATTCATCAGAAAACCATATGTTGTTGTAACCGTTAAAATGCTCTCTCATTGTTCTACAGAACTCTAATCGATTAGCGGGATCTTGTGGTTTTAATTGTTGTGTAACAACAATCTTGTATGGGTGAAAATGCAAATCCTTGCGAATAATGCGATGAACAGTTGACTTATGCAAAGTTAGAGACGCGCCACGCAGTCTTAATGATTGCCGGGGATCCTCGTTAACGGACTGACGCACACGTTCAATATTTTCGTTCGATCTTGTTGACCTTGGCCGTCCAGGCGGTTTACTAATACACGTGTTTCCAGTGCTCTCGAACTTTCTTACCCAATATTTAATTAAATTTGCGCTTGGGACATCTCTCATTCTTGCTATGTTATAATGATTTCTGTACAAACGACGTACAAGCACATAAGAATCCTTGTTTTTATAGAACTCGCGAACACAAAAAGCACGTTGCGGCCCTGTAAAACGCTCCATTGCAACTAAAATTTAACAATGTTGCCAAACGTTTGTCAACTGTCTCGTTTCTCCGGAGCATGCGTATTCCGCCAGAGGACTGATCTAAAAACGAAAATATTTCTGAGACACCCTTTATATACTTGCATACTGACTGCTGACTACGATTTGGTGGATCGAAACAAATCGCACGGCTGCTCATTTTACCTGTGGGCCTGGGTAGCCGAGTGGTTAGCGCATCGAGCTACTATTCGGTCAACCCGAGGCTCTCGAGTTTGAATCTCCGCCTTAGAAGTTAAATTCGAGCCATGGATGTTGTGTGTTGTTTATTTCACGCACCAGATCGTTGTCAGATCAAAATAGGTACATTGCATCGCTGTAACTGGTTTATCCAATAATCAATTACCAGTAGTTGACTTTTGGAGTACGTGTTGGTACTACAGGGTCAAAGGTAGCCTAGTTGCCAGGCTTCGCCTTCCCACCACTACAACTACTGCTATTATTACGCTCCTTCTGAATTCGTTGCTTCGAGTAACTCAAATGCTGGAGGAAATTCTGTATGGTATTTTTTTGTTACAGCAAGCTGAAGACGCCTTGATTCAACTCGAGGATAACAGCACGCACGTAGTGTGTAATGCAGATGAAAAACTTAGGACTAAGTTAAGAAATATAGTGATGCAGTGTTTGAAGGAATTTTGAAGTTCTTTTACATGTGCTGAATAATGCGTTCATCATTTCCACAGTGAGCTAGCTTTTAAGTTTGGTATTAATATTAAGGTATTTTTTATCATAGTTTTTGGATTAGAGCTAACAATATCATTTTATATAATTGTGATGAAAGGATGTTCATCACTGATGATAACGTCTGAAATCTGCCAATATTGATCACATACAGTGCATTTTGAAAAGGACCAGCATCTACTTATCTTTTGAACATTATCAAGCTGAGATTTGAAGTGATGAAATTGATTCAGGAACACTATATGTTGACGTTAAGATAATAGTTGAACATTTGAAGATTGCGCTTATATCAATCTTTTTCTTTTATAAGGGTATACCGGAATATGTGATATTAGTTATATGTATATGAAAAACAAAAATAGATTCTTATTCATTACTGATACACATATTTCAAAGCAGTTTTGCTCAAAACTCTTAGTATAATCATGTTGGCAAATTTCCCCGAAATGTAAAGTTTGGTTTTATTGATGAAAGTTGTTCAAGGGGGTATTTACAACTTAGACGCATAAAATGGATAAACCGATGGTCGTGGGAAAACCTTCTATTTAACAACGAAAAATGAGAAAACGAGTCTTTCTTGGATTCAATCGTTTTGATAGAAACAAAAAACTCTTTAAATAATATTTTCAGGTATTTACGAGTCCTGCAAAAAGAGACAACACGTAAAGAGATTCGACTAATAGCAAAAAAGGTATGGCCCAAAACCTAATCAAAGTTCAGGTTTTGGCACTTGTCGGTAATGCGATGATAGTGTCACGCAGATACTTCACTTCTATGTTATTGAGCAATATACAAGGTTTGTTCAAAGGGCATTCTATAACAACAAAACGAGTTTACCTGGCCGATATGAATCACAAATCAATTTGAAAGATGAATGTTATTTGTATGCGAAAAACAAAGGGTTATGTCAAACATTTCGTATTTGATAGTGATTGAACAGATGTATTCGAAAAACACGTTATTATACAAATTTTAAAACAAAACGGATGTGCGTATCACCTTTTGTTGCGAAGAAACAAACTTTTTTCATGATTTCTCGATACTTTGTATATACATATGTAGAGCTGAAATTTTGACACGATTACAGATGAGCCAAAAAGTTTATAAAATAAATATGCTGGAATAGATCACTATGTAGTTCACTCTTCGCCGCCAGGTGGAGCAACGCATGTCAAAGCTAAATAAAATCCGCTGGGTACATCCTCTGGCACCGCTGCGCTCTGTCAATGATTCATTATTTTAAAGCAGTAACTGTTGCCTCAGAATAGATCACGGGTCAGGGAGGGAGGGAGTGATCTTTCCGGAAGAGCCGTCGTATAATTATATGATTAAACGAACTTACCTAAGCGAAGTTTAATCCTAATTATATGGAGCCCCGTCCGAAGTAAATAAGCTAGTTGTAGTATCTCCGATTGGTGTCAGCACTCACACATTTTTAAAGAAAACAAACGATCCCCTGCCAGCGGCCCTGCCTCAGTCCCCAGATCTATTGGTGCTGCCTGTTCATTCCTGTTTAAAGTTTTGTTGCAACTGTTTTGGGATGGGTTGGGTGGGAGCTTATTTACTTCGGACGGGGCTCCATATAATTAGGATTAAAATTCGCTTAGGTAAGTTAGTAGTAGTAGTAGTAGAAATATTTATTTAGCACATTTGGCTACATAAACTGAATTGTAAACAACTTAGAACTAGTAAATTCAAGCGATATGGTGTATGATGTAAATGCTGGGCAACCTATAATTGTAGATTTAACAAGTGATTTCTCAATTTTACTTTAAATTTTGTCAAAGTTTTCTGGTCTTTTATCTCCGATTATAATTTATTAAATGAATATCATTACAAGATATTTGATAAAATTTTTTACATTGACCCATTTTAATTTGCTAAGCATTTGCCTAATTGGAGTATATTTATCTTTATTTAGTATTATTCTCATGCACTTATTTTGTAAAATTTGCAGTCTTTCAAAAATGGAATTATTTGCTAAATATAGAATAGTCGAACAGTGCAAGAAATTTGGGAGAATGATGGTATTATAGATAATTTTTCTGCTATATGAACTCAGACATCCAGAAACTCTCGATAAATATCCCACTTTACTACTAATCTTATTTATAACTTTTTCATAATGAATATCAAAAATTAATCGAGTCAACAAAAAACCCCCAGGTATTTAAAATTTTCTACGAATTCAATATCTTCACCATCAATATTCAGTTGAACATTTGTACATTGTTTTTTCCTATTAACAAGGCTTTCGTTTTACTTGCATTTTTAGTCTGTTAGATGCTAACCATTTTGAGACAAGCTTCAAGTCTTCATTTATATAAGAGATACCAGACTGAATATTTTTAGTACTTATATAAATCATAGTGTCATCGGCGAAAATTTGTGGTCCCAGGATACTGCCCTGTGGAACACCCAACGTATTTTCAATTTTTGATGAAATAGTGTCATTAACTTTTGTAACTTGCATCCTTTTAGACAAATAATTTCTAAACCAATCTAAAACACTTCCTGTTATACCATATGCCTTCAATTTACCTAACAAAATATCTCTATCAAGTTCGTTTAATCATATAATTATATCTCGCCCCGTCCTCGTAAATAAGCTAGTTGTAGTTGTTTAAAGCAAGTTGCAACAAGAAAGGTAGTACGCAGTGTATAGGGGAACTTACGTTTATTAGAGAATAGTAATAACATGAATGGTTGATTACCACTTTTATGAATCTAGTACCGCATTAGCAAAGTCCAGTTCTTTGGATAATAACGGCTTTTTATAAAAAACAGCAAACGTTTTTGACTTCTCCGTCCAGCCTGCTGCAGTCCGTATCGTATCACAGCTAACTCCTTTCCGGTCGGCAGCAGACGTAGACGCGTGTCGGGTGCTATGAGCACTAAATACAGCAGTATCTACACCGCTTCTTTTCAGGACTCCTTTTAACCATCTGCTAATAGACTGTGTGGTAGCGGCTCTATGGGGTTTTTTAAAGGTTAAGAATAGGGCGCTGTTCCTAATTTCTTTAGTTTTTCCTATGTATAAAAGCAAGGATTTTGCTGGACAAATATTAATGTCACTGGTGTAAAATGGCAATACTAAGACATGTTGAGTTCTGTTAACATTTGAGGTCTTGAGTTTCTTTTTTATTACAAGTTCCAATTTATCCGGAAAAACATGGATGTCATTAATATTAATACTTGCCAAGGTCTGTACTCGTTGACCTGTGGCCAGTGCTATTAATATGGCAGTTTTGTAGGTTAAGTTTTCCAAGTTAAGCGGACTTTGTGACAACCGTTTGATGTAATCGAGGACGATTGCTGGCGCCCATGTCTTATTGTACTTAGACAAGGGAGGTCTTAAAGAGCTAAGGCCTTTGAAAAATCTTTTAATCCTGAAATCATCTGATAGGTTTGGCCCCAGGATTTGAGAGATTGCGGCAGTGTATGAGTTAAGAGAGCTGAAGGAGCAACCCCGATTAAATTGTAATGTAAGAAAAGTCAGTACTGAAGGTATTTTCGCTGCATACATATTAATATTTTTGTCCCTACAAAACTGCCACCATAGCCGCAAGCTAACGTTGTACTGTGCGATAGTGGATTCGGTTATTGATGCTAGGCATATGTTCAATGATTCCTCTGGAGCGCAGCCTAGTTTCAACGCTTTGGTGATACAGTTGCGGCTACCAGGGTAATGCTCTTCCAGAGGGGATGGGGAGTCCTGTTAAAGGATAGTAGATTGTTACTAGGTTGAAAAATTATTGGTTCACCTTCTGTCAGTGAGGTGAAAAAGAGGGACGACAAGGATGCCCCGAGCCTTGTCTGAAATTATTTTTTGTAAGACTCGTACAAGAGAAAATGGAGGAAAAGCATAGAAGAAATACAGTTCCCAGTTCAAAGTTAAGGCATCGCTTGCGATACTTTCCGGATCTCTCAACCATGATACAAACTTTTTACATTTTGTATTATTCCTAGATGCGAAAAGATCTATACTAGGTGTGCCAAATTTTCCGACAATTTTGGCAAAGGCAGCTTTATCTAAAGCCCACTCGGTTTCCATTCCCAAACTGCGAGACTCTCTATCGGCTTCTTTATTGTCGCTAGAACTTATGTATGAAGCATATATAAATAAGTTCCTTTGTTCACACCACTGCCAGATAAGGCGTGAAAGTCGGTTTAATGTTGGATATTGTACACTCCCCATCTTGTTAATATATGCGATCGCTGTTGTATTGTCAATTCGACATAGAATATTGCAGTTACGTAGTTTATTTGCAAAGCATTTTAGTCCAAAAAACGCCGCTAAAAGTTCCAAATAATTTATGTGTTGATCTTTTTCGACTTCTGACTAAAACCCGTGAGTTGTTCTGCCTGTACAATTTACACCCCACCCCGTTCTTGAAGCGTCAGAAAATATTTCCAGCTGAAAAATCATTAAAACGGATAGGGTTTCTTGCGGTTGGTAAATGATTTAGCCACCACTGAAAATCTTTACCTAACTCCGGGGCTATCCTCATTTTTGCAGTATAACTGCCCCCTGAGTGACGTAGCGCCAGAAACTTCTGTCGCTCAAACAATTTTGTGTATAGCCACGCATATTTAACACCCGGGCATAGAGATATAAGCTTTCCCACAAACCTGGCAAAATCTCTGATGGAACAACATTTCATGGTTGAGAACTTTTTAAGTAGTTTTATTGTATTGAGAATTTTTTTCTTCGGAAGCGATACACACATATCAATTGAGTCATAAAGAAAACCGATATATTGAATTTTTTGAACTGGAATTAGTTTGCTTTTTCTGTGGTTCAGGAGGAGACCGAGTGAGATCAGTAGTTTTCTGGTATAGGAGACATTATCCATGCACTCCTTGTACGTACTGCCAAAGAGTAAGATGTCGTCTAAATATATGACAGAAACAAACCCCATTTCTCTAAGGAGAGTCATTATGGGTTTCATTAGTTTAGTAAATACCCAAGGTGCTACATTTAGCCCAAAAGGCATGCAGTTATATTCGTATATGTTGCCTTCAAATTTGAATCTAAGGAACTTTTTGTGTTTTTCGTAAATGGGTATGAGAAAATATGCATCCTTTATTGTACTCATGAAGCAATTTTTCGATATCAGTTTTGTTACAGTACGATGGTCTTCCAGTTTAAAATGTTTACATTTCACAAAGAGGTTTCATTTTTTCAAGTGTAAGATAAGTCTGTTGGTACCATCATTTTTGGGTCTTATGAAAATATTTGAGAGAAACTGGCCTTTACAAGGGTTTACTAAACTGACGGCTCCGGAAGAGACTAGGTCGTTAATGCATGTTTGAACCAGAGCCTTTTCATTGACTGACCAACATAAAGTTTTGAATTCTTGTTGTTGTGGTAAAGCCATGAACGGTATTTTAAACCCTTGGATCCATCGTAATGTGATATTTTCCTTAAAATGAAATTTCCACTTATGCAGGAAATATTTTAATCTACCAGCGCTGACCTGTGTGCGGCCTAGCGATTCGGTCTCCCGCGTTGCTTGTGCTGCTGCTGTTTCAATCTCTATTGAGGGGGAACTGTTTTGTTGTAGTATCGGCTCCTCTCTCGGTTCGTTCCCTGTTGGTAACGAGATGGAGCCCTGTGGTTTAACGAGCGAGTCGTTGCAGGAAATCGTTGGGATGAAGTAGGGGCCTGATAGTGAGTTTTGGTAATGGTTTTTGGAGGCTTTGCTTTTAGTATTTTCCTGTTCCTGTATTCTTCGGAATTTTTGGTTGCTTTCATTCGCTCGTCCAAATTTTGCCCAAAAAGGTATCCAGAGGGATGTCAATTGTGGCCTCCTGAAATTCCTTGGAGAGGTTTATTGAAATAAGTTCCCTTCTGGTTATATTTTGGGAATGCCACAAGTCAGCCATGATTCGACCTGCATTAGTGAGTAGTTCAATGTATCGTCTGTCCCCCCCTCTTCTTCCGATAACAGGAGGCTACAGACCTGACCAATGCCAGAAAGGATTGCCGCAACTAAACACTGTAGTTTTGTCAGTCGCTCATCCCTCAATAAGTTAGATGGAGAAATGGCTTTTTGTACTACAGGGTTAAGAAGTGGAGCAGATAATGTTGTAAAGTTTTCAGGCGGAGGGAGTTTGGACAGAAGGGATTTTCTATCGTCACCAGATAGGCCCGTCTTCAAAATTTTTTCCCATCGAAGGAGCAAATCCTCATGAATTTTTGGCCCCAGTGGTTCAGGAGAGGTGTCTTTCTTCCCCAGTATGTCTATGATATCCTCACTTAAAGGCGCTGGGGAGAATGAAATTTCCTCGGACCTTACATCATTTTCTGAAACAACGGTGAAGCTGTAATTCAAAATAAGTGCGAGATATTGTGGGTATTAAACACATCCGGCTAGCATTCAAGCCAGGACGGAAGATACGAATAGGCTCAGTGTGATATTTGAGGATAGGCTATTGCAGATGTTTACACCCGACTAGCATTCAAGTCAGGATCGAGGAAGAAGACATAGATTCATTACGATATGTCCGAATTGGTATCAAAAGTCAATAAGTGGTTTAACCACAGTTTTAACTAATTAGGTCCGGTCTCTGACTAGCATTCAAGTCAGGATCAAGGAAAAAATGAAATCACTATATGTGGCAACTGATATCAAAATGCAATAAGTGAAAATGAGTAGTTTTAACTAATTATGTCTCGTCTCTGACTAGCATTCAAGTCAGGATCAAGGGAAAGATGAAATCATATAGATTCATCACTATATGGGGGAATTGACATCATAAATTGTGTATTTTTAGCTGAGCATTTTCCTACCTGCGAGAGCATCGGCAAAAGGCGATCTACGGGTGCGTGACCGTCGAGCGGTGTTCTAATTGCTAGCACCGTCCGACGTCGAGCATGAGCGAGGCGAAGAGTAACTCGACGACGAAGAAGAGGAACTGGATATGCGTCGTATTCGAGACCGAGACGGGCGGCCTTGCTTTTCCATGGCGCGTAACCGATCATCCAAATTGTTAATTATTTTTCGAAGTTTTCTAGTTTCGGTATCACCGGAGCGATGTCGATCGCTTCTAGTGCGTTTTGGCATATTTAAGTTCGCAGAGATCCAAACAATGTATATTATTTGCACTAAAAAAACCAAAGAATTCGTTACGACCCGGCGCGCACTGCTTCGCTGACACACAAATCGAGAATGAACAGGCAGCACCAATAGATCTGGGGACTGAGGCAGGGCCGCGGGCAGGGGATCGTTTGTTTTCTTTAAAAAAAAAAAATGTGTGAGTGCTGACACCAATCGGAGATACTACAACTAGCTTATTTACGAGGACGGGGCAAGATATAATTAAGATCTAACATCACTTATGTAAGTTCGTTTAATCCTATAATTATACCACCCGCCAGATTACTTTTATGTTAGGAGAGAAAACTATTGATTTCTTTACAAGCAGTGATTTGAATAGAGGGTACCATGGTTGACTGGGCCAACACGGTACTACGACAATACCCTCCGTTTTGTCTGTAATTATTTTCTGTAGCACTTTAGCCACTAGGGAAAAAGGCGGGAATGCATAAAATTTGTAATTAGTCCAGCAAGTTGTAAACGCGTCGACAATTTCGGCTTCAGGGTCTTTGAACCAAGAAGCAAATCGCTTACATTTTGAATTTACTCTGGAAGCAAATAAATCGATCTCGGGTGTTCCTAAGTCACGACAAATTTGTTTAAACGCATAATCCGCTATTGAAAACTCTGTTTCAGTATTTAGTTGACGCGATTCCTGATCGGCTATAATGTTATCTTGCGATTTTATGTAAGACGCGAAAATAAATAAATTGCGCTCTTCACACCACTGCCAAATTTGCTTAGCAAGGCTGTTAAGATATGGGAAGTGAATACCACCCATTCTGTTCACATATGAAATGGCTGTAGTGTTATCTATTCGTAAAAGTAGTTCGCAATTTACAAGATCTGCTGCAAAGCATTTAAGTCCAAAGAATGCAGCCAATAACTCTAAATAGTTTATATGTTGCTTCTTATCTTCGTTGGACCAAAAACCGTGCGACTTACAACCATTACAGTGTATCCCCCATCCCGATCGAGAACTGTCACTGAATATTTCCAATTTGAAGTTGAAACTGTGAAAAGTATTTTTGCCCGAAAGATGACTTTTCCACCAGTTAAGATCCATTAGAATCTCTGTAGACATTCTCATCTTGTGATTGTAAGACCCTCTAGACCTTCTCAAGGCCAAAAATTTTTCGCGTTCACAATTCTTGGTGTACAGCCACCCATACTTGATTGCCGGACATGCTGCAATCAATTTACCAATCAATTTCGCAAATTCCCGGATAGGGAAGGTTGTTTTATTCACGAACCTGCGCATATGTTCTGAAATACTGTTTTGTTTGTCTATAGGTAGGCTTAAGGACACATCTATTGTATTATATACCCCAAATACTTAATTTCTGTGCATGGCACAAGTACACTCTTCTCTAAATTAATCAAAAATCCTAAATCTAACAACACTTTCTTAGTTATGTTAACATTTGTCACACACTCAGCATAACTACGACCCATTAATAGAAAATCATCAATATATAATACTGACAAAAAACCTTGTTGTCGTAAATGGGATAGAACTGGTTTCAACAGTTTCGTAAACACATACGGCGCTGTATTTAGACCGAAAGGTAAACAAGTATATTCATACATTTGTCCGGAAAACACAAACCTGACATATTTCCGATGATGTTTATGAATAGAAATCAAGTGATACGCATCTTTGAGATCTATGGATGCAAGAAACATGTTTTTGTCCAATAATCTTGTTTCCGTTTTATGGTCCTTCATTTTGAAATGTTCTGTCGTAATAAACTTGTTCAGGTCTTTTAGATTTAAAATCAATCTAAACGAGCCATCCTGTTTGGGTGTGAGAAAAATATTTGAAAGAAATTGGCCGTGCTCGAAAGAACATTTTCTTATAGCGCCCAGGGATAACAAACGCTCGATTTCTAAATTTAAAAATCTCTGTTCTGTTGAAGACCATTTCAATTCCTTAGGAACAGATTTCTGAACAGGTGTCTGAGAGAAAGGTATTAGATAACCTTTAACCCATGATAACAGAAGATTATCCGACGTTAACGAATTCCAAGCTAGTAAAAAGAATTTTAGTCTTCCACTTATATAAATTACCTTTAAAGGGTCCGCTTTTGATAGGCTTGGGTTTGATTGGTTCTGTATGCTGGACGAATTTCTTTCGTTGATCGGGGGGCTTTCCGAGGAGTCTTGGCTTCGAAACTCGGGGTTTTCCGTGAGTATTTCGGTCTGCCTCGATAACCCTTGACATTCACTCGAGGCAGACCCTTGAAGTTTACCGAAGACGTCAGTGTAGCAGTAACTGCTTTAGGCTTCAGGTTGGATGACAATTTTTCCATTTCACGAGCTGCTTTCACCCGATCACCCAGATTTTGTCCAAACAGCCAACCATCCACAGATACGTTAGAAAGGGTTCCTCGGAGCTGTTTGTCTACACTCACCGATACCAAATTCCGCCTACACGTAGATTCTTCATGGTGAATGTCCGAAATTAAACTTCCGGCATCACTGAGGCATTCAACCAGCACTCTGGTATGTGCCCCCTCCCCTTTTTCCAACAGAATTGTCAGCGCTTTGCCAATTGCCACCAGGGCAGCCCCCATCTGGTCTTGGCGCTTAGAGAGCTTCAAGTCCCGCTGCTTGTGTTGTTCCGTGAGAACCGATAAAACCTCTGAGTTCAGTTTGGGGGCATTAGCAAGGCTTAAGTTAGTGGGAGGAGAATATTTTTTACATATAGTTGCTAAAACCTCAGAATCCAAACCTTCCTGTAATATATGGGACCAAATTTGAACAAGTTCGCTGTTAATGTCTTTTGTAGAGGCCACAGAGTTTTTCCCCAAAAGTCTCAAAATTTCATCCGAGATGGCAACACTGCGTTCGGCAACACTGCATTCAGCAACACTGCGTTCGGCAACATCGCACTCGGCAACATTGTTCCTCTCCAAGGTTCCGTCTGATATGGCAACATTGCGCTCGGCAAGGTTATTCTCTGCTGCAAAAATGGAAGAACTTATGATGCAACTGTACCTGCCTTTAGAAATCGCCAAGACTCGTTGACAATATATGAAAATAAAGGCGACGCCTTGTATTTATTTGCCAAAACTCGTTGGTCTTGCGCTTATCAAAACTCGTTGACGACATCATAAACTACCTTAAGGGACCTATTCACATGCGAGCATGTCCGGCGGATCTGTCCGACGGACAGATCTGCTGCGCGCTACTGACATGCGAATTTGTCCGTATACATTCACCGACAAATCTGGATAGACGAAGTTTTTGGTTCATTCAGTTACTGATTTCCGCGTTGTGAAATGGATAATAAAAAGAAATAAAAAGAAAAGACTGTGGTCAAAGCGGTGGTTCTTAGAAAGAAGAAAGTATTCTCATATGAGTTTAATTAGAGAACTCCAAACAACAGAGCCTCATGATTTGCACAACTTTTTACGAATGGATAAAGAAGCATTTGAAATATTATTATAATATGTAGACCCATTAATCCAAAGAAATACCACCCATATGAGAGAAGCAGTGAGTAGCAGAGAGCGATTAATTGCTACGCTACGGTACTTAGCAACTGGAAAGAGTGTTGAAGACTTGAAGTTTAGTTGTGCAATCTCCCCACAGCTTCTCGGGAAAATAATACCTGAAACTTGTTGGGCATTATTTATGACACTAAAAAACGAATATTTGAAGGTTAGTAAATGATTTATTAGTTAATAAGTACAATATTACTTATAAAGTATGTTACAAACTTATTTTTTATTGCTTTGAAGTTGCAGAAACTCGGAAACGTCACACTTATTCGTATCATAATATATTGTATTATTTTTTGATGATGTACTGGGTTGCTCATGTTGAATCTGAGTAACTCGAAGATTAGATTCTTGTATAGCTGGTTGTTGAGAGGGTGGATCATTTAGCTGAGTAACTGAAGGATGCGAAATTAGTGCGGCTGGTTGTTGAAAGAGTGTATCATGTAGCTGAGTAACTGGCGGCTGTAAAACTGGTATGGTTGACTGTTGATAAACTGATTTCCATAGTAAGTGGTAGGATTTTGCCCATAATCATAGAAGTTTTGAAAACTGTTGCCTGAATGTTGGTGGGTTGGTGCACGAAAGGTACAGTTTTCCGTAAGCCTTCCTAATTTTCCGTAAAATAAAACATCGGAAATTATTTTTTGCGCAATAATTCTTTGTCTTGCGTCCATGTGTTCGAGATCAACTGCTACGCTTTTTCCAAACGGTTCAAATGGAGATATTGGTTTTTCTGGAGCTGTAAGGGCAACATTTGCTGCGTCTAGAAACTTTGCTTTTTTATGGCCTAGACTACTATTTCTATTTGTGGACCTGCAACTTCCACGGCTACTTTTTTCAGCATGCTCAGAATAGCAGCTGCTTACGGGAGTTGATGGCTCGCTTAATGATTCAGGTTGTTCATCCTGAAAAAATAATACACATTGTTGTAATACAAATGATATTTCACATGATTTTTGTGAATGATATTGTTAAAGCTTGCATTATTCTCCATAACTATGTTAGAGACAGAGACGGATACAGGATTGAGGATACAACGACAATCATAGGGCTAGAAGAAGTTCAAGGAGAGAATACTACAAGAGGAGGTGTTCGAGCAAATAATATAAGAAACATTCTATGTCAATATTTTGTTTCAAGTGTAGGAAGTGTTCCATGGCAGATGTCCAAAATTTAAAAGGTCATTCTGATAGATAACCATCAGATTCTGACAGTTTATAATTATAATAATAGTATAAAAAAACAACTAGAAAACAAAAATCACGACACATTTTTAATTTGTTAAACACAATTTTGAACGTTACTATCACTCAGTCTTAAAAGTGTAACAAATTGTAATAAACAGGTTAGCTTTATTTTTGAGCAAAACAGAAGAAAGATTTGCGATTTCGTTGTTCTTATCCGCTACTGCCAATACAATTGGAAAATGCTATACTTCCTACAAGACAAAGATGAAGAATACTTCATCATATGAAGTGTCAGTGGTCAGTTTTACTCGCTATAAATGCTAAATTTCCCTAAATTGAGTCTTTTTTATGCGTATTTGCATTAGGCAATTAATCAAAATAAAATATCAATGTTCACATATTTGGTGTAATATACTTAGGCATAAATAATAGGACTAGGATACCTTGTTTTCTACTGTTTATTGTTGAAATTTATCTATTAAGCGTTAAAAAATAAGAAAACATAAAAGTCCTGCATTAGATTTTCAACGATATTTTCACCTTTATACTCCAATATTATATGTATTTAATAATTTTTTTATTGTTTAATAATTTTCGGCTCTAGATAATAATATTCGCATATAAATTCACGCCTTTGGGTATACCTTTTGCATATTTTTAATGTTAATTTTCAACGAGTTTTGAGCAAAAATGGGCGTAGCAACCAATTTTTTTTTTGATTTAATATCTTGCATGATAATAAATAAGTAGATACTTACCAAAAACAGATCTATCTTTTTCAGTCAATTGATCAAAGTCGCTATGCAATCCCAGGCAAACTTCACGCCAAGCGTTTCTCGTGGCATCTCTGTCCTTAAATATGTCGAGGGTTTTATCCCACAAGACAGATCTTTCTTCGATTAATGAAATTAAAATATCATTATCTATAACCAGATCTGCAACCACGTCACTCATGTTGCTATTTATTATACCTAAAATCGGAACTGTTCCTTTTTCAAAATTTGCAAATCTTTTTAAAAATCAAAACACCCTGGAATAAACTAATCCAACGGTAGAATAACCGACGTGTGTGCAATCGTGCATTTGGTCACGTAGGCCACTACTGGGCGTCGACGGTAAAAAAAACGTCGGCTCCAGTGGCAGTTGGCGTTTGCACCGCTACCGCTAACGGCAAATTGACCGATCGTTTATTTGTCCGCCTAATGTGTAATCTCTAATCTACTCCAGAGCGCCACTGCTGAATCGGCGGCGACGGTCAAATGTCCGCCGCGGCAAAATCCGTCGTGTGTGCAACCGGCCTAACTGCTCAGTCGTGGTTATACGCGCGCATTGCGTGGTCCGATAGCCGCGAACAGCGCAAACGCTTACCGCTCATGCCTTGCGTAAACGCAACGACGATGAAAAGACCTAGACATTTACATTCATTCATAAAACGTCTATCTGAACGTTGACAAGATAAACAACAGAAAACTATATACAGCTGGAGGAAGATGGCGGACAGTCGTCAACTGCCATGGGCGTATCATAATCGGGGTAATAGAGCTATAGCTAGAAATCGATTTTTGTGGAGTTTTTGGGCACTTCAATGAATGTAAAAGTATTATGCATAATGGAATGGAATAATTTGTCACTCAAATAAATTGTTTATGCTAATTATGAATATGCAAGCCGAAATATAGCGTCGAAGTACAATTAAATATAAGTGTACATAAACACAACAAGAAACGGTCAAAACTAGGACTATGAATCAAACCGGACGTCACATGCACTCAGACCAATCATGATAGTGTCGCCAGCGACAGACGAGGCTCTGAAAACTGATGAGCTTTATACATTTATTAACCCGACTGCCTCAGGAGGAATATGTTTCACATGTTTTTTGGTTTGTATGTATATATTCAAAAATTCTGTTTCACGGGCTCAAATGCTTGTTGGATTTTGGTATTCGGATTCGTCCTAGCAGTATGAGTGATACTGGGTATATTAAAATTTCATTGAAACAAAATGGCGAATATTAATAAAATAATCAACCTTGAAATTCATATTTCCAAGGCTGCAGCTTGAACGGTTTGATGGATTTTGACAGAGGTGCCTCTAGATTAGAGACGGTATACTTGACCAATGTGTTTCCAATATTTACTTAAAAATTAGAGTTGGATTGAACAGTTTTGATCGCCATCCATTTTAATAAGATATTTTTTTAAAACAAATCAAACAGTGAAATGGGAACACTTTTTATTTTGACATTTTTACAAAATCATAAATTACAAGAGTTGCTTCAAGCAGCTACTTCACACTCGCCAATTTAACAATGGGTACAAAATCATCATAGGCCATTCCTTGTATAATTGTAAAGAACAGTATAAGAACAAACACTCTAAATCTTATTAGTACTACTTTGCCAGTATTATAAAGCGAATGTCAGACGTTCATTTCATACTCTGATCCGTTAGTATTTTCCAAGGAATGTGGTCGTATTCATTGAACGTCTAGCCTAGCGTATTGATGCCATGTTTTATTGTTGCATAAGGTTATGTGGAAATTCAATCATTCCATCGATCCGGAAGGAAATCTATCAGTAAATACTGACGTACGGATCACAGTATGGAATGAACGTCTGACATTCATCTACGAGGTCTCAGTTATAGCATAATTAAAGGAAAATATGCGAGTTATATATATATACGTATATATATATATATTAGGGTGGAACGTTTATGTATGGATTAATTTTTTTTTCCAAATATTGAATTGTAATAGGGAGCAATTGGTGCAGTATATTATAGTAAAAATATATGTAATTTCTCAATTAATTTTTCCAACATCTTCTGCCTCCGCACTGACCCCACAAAATCTAAATTTTAACTAAAAAATATTAGTACACATTTTACCAACTATTGAGCTTAGTTTAATGATATATGGGTGATGAATCACTTGCAAAATTAATCTAAGATATTTATTGAAGAACTACAATTAAAAATACGGTAACATTTTAAGAACAATAGTAAGAAAATATATACATATTTATATATTACTTTCCTTTAAAATTTCTTTTTGTCTCAAATTTAGGCATTATATTCCGAGATTCCAGTTTGGCTTTTATTGCACCCAATCGTGCCTTTTCCGTACATTGGGACGTGGCTGCCTCTGTCGTCACTTTTACAGCTCGTTCTACAGCTTGTGTGTGACACGGAAGCTTCAAAAAGGTCAATTGATTCTCATCCCCAGTTTCGACGACGCGCCAAATTTCTTGGTCAGAAAAGATTTTTAAAATAGGGGGTTCCGTTATTTTTTCCTGCCAATTTATTAAATCAACGTATGTAGAAGCATTAAAATTAATGCAAGGCAACTCAAATAATCTAATTGTTGATGTTTGCTGCGTGCTACGTGCTTTCAATACACGCCTGGCTGCCAGTTCTCGAATATGTTTCTTGGCATCAGTTAACAGTGCAAGAAGCGTGTTCTCCGGATGTGCAAAGTAGCTATTCCGTTGAATGACAGGATCGATTATCTTTTTAAGATCTTCTGACAGGTATCTGGAGGCAGAAATTATAAAGAAAAGATGTCGCGTTCCATCCTTGCAGAAGGGTTTGTTTTTAATAAGGAACCAAGATGGTGCGTAAACTTTAACAACAAATTTTGCCAGAGTTAGCAGTTTCTCTGATGGTGTTTCGGTTGCTACATACAAACGCAATATTCTATTGGCACGTGTGAGCCAACGGGCATGTGAAAGTTTGCCGGGAGATTTATTTGACAGATCCTCTGGAAAAATACCTGTAAGAACCGCTGTGACAATATTATGTAAGTACTGTTGATCTGTACTCAAATCTTTGGCCATTTCTGGAAGCATTTCTCCTTCAATAGGTTGAAATTTTCTAATAGGTAGTTGTTCACAGGTCTCTAGTGCTTTTCCTAAAGGTCCAGAGAAAGACTTAGGTCCCGAAGTACACCCATCAAGATGAAGAAACAAGTG